TAGCTAAGGGTTTGGCTTGAGACTACAGATGTGGAAATCTGCTTGTATAATATAATTTTCCTTTCTTCCTATTGTAACCTCAAAATGTGCTTAAGAGAACACAGTTCTGCCAAATTTGTCCTCTTACATGGACATATATAAATGTACCCCTGCAAACAGGAAAATTTCATTAGTTGAGTGAATTGGGATTTAGCAGAGATTTCTTGCTAAAAGAAGGGATAGTAGTGATTTCCTTATCCAGCAGCGGGTGGGGCAACCATGTAGAAGATTCCCCAAGCCTCCAAAACGCTGGGACAAAGCTCGGAAAAAGCACTGCCATATCTCTAATGGAACTCTTTTGACCACAATTCTGAAATCAATGCATCCCTAACAATGTTTATCTTACTGCAACCAATCCATGACTAATTGTTCAAAGGTAGATGGAAAAAGTTGCTAAAACCTTGAATGTCTACTCTAGAACAACTTCCAAATCATTATTTTTTGAAATGATGTCAATTCAAGTAACACAGATATGTAATATTTTAGTTTTAGCATACTATATTTGCTATTTACAATTTATTTTATTTCAGATACTATGGAGAAAGTTAGTTTAAATATTTAGACATCAAAGAAGCTTCTATAGAACACCAGCATATTTACTGATAGAATACACGCACACACACACACAAACACAATTGAACAGGCACTGTAATATTTCATTTTCATTGAAAAGTCTATTTCTATCTTGGAATGTTTCTGAACTAAACACCCAGAATTAATAACCAAGGTAACAATGCACAGAAATGATTTGAGCTGCTACATATACCAAGCAGCAGATACTAAACACTCCTCCATTCATGGATCAAATTTCAACATATAATTGTCAAAAATTGTTGCTATTTTCTTGCCATGCTGAGGGCTGAAAACACATGAACTATAAAAATACTCAAACACAATTCCTCCCCGGTGTTTGTTATACTGTTGCTCCATTCATCAAAGCCTTGACCCAAACACGATAGCGTTGCCCACCAGAATTACACAATATGCTTACTTTTTTTGAAAATATTTTGCACTGTACAATATAAAACAATGACAAATCAAGTTCATGTTGTTGTCAAGAATACTATATGGATGTATCCTTGAAGTCCCCAGGAGCTGAACTTGATTTAAAGGAGACTTTACTTTTTATTCTAAACAAAATTAACCCTCCTTATCTGTATATGTAAGTTTATATTTTCTATCTATACACCATAATGAAGCAAACTCAATTACACTTATAAAAATACATATATAATACATATATAAGCAATCACACTCACCCACACTTCTGCAAATACAAGCACTTATATTTCCAACTTTAAAAAAAAAAGACTTGTCTCTGCTCAAGATCTTAAGGAACCCTCGGTACCAAGGTGTACAATACAAGGCAATATAACTTTAGAGAACACTATCATAGGTATAAATGGGTCATCTCATTCTTCACAGCCAACACTGACAACAACTAACACAGCTTTATATACACATTCATAAATATCTGAGGGAAGAGGTCAATTTCATCCTGTCTTTTATACTGAAATTAATTCATACCTTACTCTATTTATTAAAACACAACATCTGATTACTTGCTTATACTGCAACTTTTACTGTTCCAATTGGACAAAGCTATAATTTAACTGTGGATTGTGTACATAAGCAAGTGTGTTAATTTTTAACTTCATGTTTAGTTTCCCCAACTTTATTGTGCATGTTCCAAATGCAATTATTAAACACAAAGCCATTTTTTTACCTTAATAGGATACTGTTTTACAGCATTAAGAAAATTAAGAATCCAATTTTTTCATGAATGGAAAGGTTAATCTATCACCAGAATGCATGCCAAATTTCATGATATCCCACTTAAAGTATGAGTACTGCTAAAATATAAATCTATAAATAATTTCCTTGAAAGTTACATGTTAAGAACATTCACGTATCTTATATGAAGATGTGCACTTTCACTTTTATTCACACATTATGGTTTATATCAGTCAGATAGCCTAATGAAGTTTTTAATTAAAACTTTAAGCATATTCAACATGACTAATCAACAAGGTTTGTAGGAGCTGCAGTAAAAGATGAACTGAAAAATGAAAAATACTTCTCACTTCTCAGAACTAATACTCATTGTGTTAAAAAACTTTTTCGGTTTAACCTATTACACTGCAATCACAAACACACTATAAATATTATTACACAGAAGTACTATTCTAACAATAAAAGGTCAATTTCCCTACCAGTAATATATGGGTCATTTAAAAATATATTACTTTAAATTCTTGATCTCTCTTTTTTATATGGACATTTACATATCCATGTACACACACAAACCATTGCTAACTATGACAACTCAAATCTATAAACATTTCTCAACCACACAGGACAATTTCATTATGCTAGAAACAAATAAAGATCTAAATTAAAGAGGACTAAATTCCACTATAATGGAGAAGGTTTTCAGTTCAATTCTAAAGCATATTTACTTTCAGATGAGTTTCTCCACATTTTACAGGACTCTTTCTAATTATTAACTTACATGATATTGCAGTTAACATGGAATATGGCTTGATTTTAACTCTTTATTTTAATATTAATATATCATTTTTTTCATCTAAATAATAAGAAATACGAAACCGTTTTCAAGAGAAACTCATCCCTAATTCCAGAAGGAGAATACTGACTGGATGGTCTAAGGCCAAAAGAGAATTTAAAAAAATCTATCAAGTATTTTGCACATGACCTCAAATCCATAATTCTATTGTTGAACGATTATGTGGAAGACTTTTTGCTAGTCTAAAATGATTCACAGTATTCTAATGCAGAAAATAAAAGGAGTTCAATTGAAAATACAACACATTTATGTATCAATTAATGTTATTAGCAAGATATTTTTATCACATTTACAGAAAGAATTCTTCCCTTTTTTTCCAGTGGAAATCTGTGCATTCTTATTTGAAGAAACCTTAGTGACAGTACACTATGGATGCAGTATGTTCTAACTTCAGTCCCTAATATATTTAGCTAGGCCAGTGAAAACCTCTACCTAAATCTCAGGAGTGATGCTGCCAACTAATGTTAATTGATATCTATCAATTGGCTTAGCTAGATCAATCAATAAAATGACTCAATGTAAGGCAGCTTTCTAAATTCCAAATATAGCAACTTCAAACAAATGAATTTATTTCTCAACAAAGACGAATAGAATTATACTGTCATATATTATACTGTAAGTATATGGGAACAGTCAATCTGCATGTATTTTAAACTGTATGAAGTTGTTTTCTTAAATAAATGCATGTTTTATGTATATGTATTTTAATTGTAGTACTTAACTTACAAAGAAAAGCAAACGATAAAGGGTTAAACAAATTGGAATAAAATTTTGGGCCTACAATCTGAACACACAATAACTGCTGACATCTCAAAGACCTCACTGAAACTAAGGTAGATTCCTATAATTCCACAATTGCAACCAAATAATGGATGGCAACATAAATACAGTGTTCTAGCTGAAGTTGTGTTAATGAAATGCTGCTAAATCAAAAAGGAGCCTTACCTCCCAATTAAGATAGTATTTCCAAAGTTTTCTATGCTATTATACAAGATACCACCAACCAGTACTCCTACTAAAGCTATTTCTGCAGAAAGACAAAATTCTTTCAGAATCAACTCTATGCTTTAGAAAAAGAACCATCTCTATGCTTTAACATTTATACTCATAATTCAAATTACTAGAAGCAGCATGCAAATGACCAACTTCCTAATTCTAGTAGCTGTAGTTTCTACTACTATTAAAAATACAAATAATAATCATCTCATTATAATTAAAACAATATTGTGTGCTGACACCAAGAACCAATATCCATAGTACATTGGCCACACCTCCTGTACAGAAGCAATAAAAATGAAAAGTAATTTCTTCTATAATCAAAATTGTACATTAGGAAATTCAAAGACTGAATATTGCATGCATATATGATTCCAAATGTCTTTGAATGCACAAATATTGTAGTCTACTATAACTATATATATTTAGAAGCACTTTCTTAAGCAAAACCACCTTGGCAGATAGGTTACTTAGGTAAAACAGCAATTTTTCAAAATCTTATCTGGAGAACATTAGGTACTTAAATTTGTGGATACTTAACCTACTATGTAGTTATGTCAAAATCAAGCACACAATCTTATAAAAATTTGAATACTAGCTTTAATATTTACAACAATCTTTTGTTGCATATTTATCACCATTTATTATCCAGTATTGACCCTGCTTTTTAAACAAATATAATCACACTGGCTCAAGGTTGACTCAGCCTTCCACTTTTCTGAGGTTGGTACATGAGGACCCAGATTGTTGGGGGGCAATATGCTGACTCTGTAAACAGCTTAGAGGGCTATAAAACACTATGAAGCGGTATATAAGTCCAAGTGCTAGTGCTATTGCTACACCAAAACACCACTAAACAGATTTTTCACCCACAGCCAACTTTCCCAATTCACTAAACTAACTGATGCAATATAGACAGAAGATTTTCTACATTAACTTTTTCCAGAAGACCAACGCAATGGAACTACTCAGCTCTTTGTCACAGTTAACTGAAAAACTTTAATACAAGTAACTGCCATAATCCATATAACTATTCCAGATCGCAACACCTACTGCAAGGAGCATAAGGAGTATCACCTTTAAGTTTCTGATGCAACAGCTGTAATGGGCACCACTCATTTCCATTTCATCTCTACTTTACAATGCCGGGCCTAGGCCCACGTCTGCCAGATTCTTGCTTCTGCCCGAAAAGAAAGGGAGGGAGAAACCAGAAATCACAGCCGTTTTTCTAAAAAAAAATATGGCACCTAATGGAGAAAGGGGCGGGAAACACAAGGAACAGCGGCACTAGGCTTCCTGGGGGAATCGGGGTGTAGGAGTGAGAAAGGGGGACCCTCTTAACAGGAACTGTCCCCGGCCTCCACAAGCCGTGGGATACAAGTCAGATCTAAATCGAAGCCATCCTCCTGGTATCGCCTTTTGTTCCTGCTGACAATTTCTTTGATGATGGCGGTCATGTCTGGGAGCCGGGAGCCGCTCAGAAACAGCGCGGAGAGGCACGGCGGCGGCTGCAGGGCGCAGATGGCTCGAAACCTCGGCGGGGGAGGCTGCTCCCCGAACAGTCCCCGCCGCCGGTACGACCGACGGCTGCTGACCAAGCGGCTGCCGGGCAAGGACGGCGCGGAGAGGCTGGCACCGTGGACAGGGCCTGCGCCCGATCGATCCAGCGGCGACTCCCGGGAAGGCCCTGCAGCAGCGGCCGAGACGGAACGCTGGAGCGAGGACGGTCCTCCTGCAGGCTCCGCCACTGGCGCGTCTCCCCGCGACAAGCAAGATCCCGAGAGTAGCGGCGGCGGCGGCGAGGAAGAAACGCGGCCCCGACTCCCTATCGCGCTCCTGCGGCTTTGGGACGAGAAAGAGGACGCGGCGCCGCCGCCGCCGCCGCCGCCGCCTTCGAGCCGTTCCTTTTCCCCCTCAGTCGGGCAGCGGCGCTCCAGCTGCAGTTCCGCGACGGGCAGCCCCCCTCCCCCGGCCCGCTCCGCACCCCGCGCGAAGTGGGGGTGCGGGCGGGCGGGCCCCCTCGGATTCAAGGGAAGGCGGCCGGCTCGGGGCTGGGACTCTATGGTTCGATGCGACGGGCCGGCGGGCTCCCCTCGGAGAAAACGCGGGGAAGGCGGCTGGGCCTAAAGCGGTGGCGGTGGTAGCGGCGCGGCGGCCGCGCAAGACCAAGACCGCCGCCGCCGCCGAACTCAGGTCCTGAGGAGGGCGCGAGGCTGGCAGCAGCCGCGGGTCATGCTGCTCCGTCCACCGGTGGTTCGAGTTTCCGCGATCCGCTGGGGGCCGCCTCGCCGGTCGGCCGGCTGTTTGCCAGACCCCGCTTCACCCGCGCTCACCGCTCAAGTACTCGCTCTCCGTTGGGACTGCGGCTCCGAGTCCCCGCGCCAACCGCCTGAGGAGCTTCAAACTACCATCATGGCTGCAGCTTCCGAAGCGAGAAGGGAAGGAGGAGAGGGAGGGAGGGAGGAAAGGGAGCCCGAAAGGAGGGGAGAGAGGGAGAGAGATAGATAGACAGCCAGACAGGCCAGGCGGAGGGGGGTATGATCCACTCCACCCTTCTTAGCTCCCTCCGCCGCCGCTGACGAAAAAAGTAGTCCTGCACCGCCACATCACCGCCTCTCCGGCCACCGCGCCGACCGATTCGCTGCTTCTCGGACAGCTCCCTCTCTCTTCGGTCCCTCCTTCTTCTTCAAACCCTGCACGGAAAGCGCCTGACCCGTTCTTCGGGGAAAGGCCTGGCCCGAATTGGGATCAAAGAGGAGCCGAGGTGGGGGTGGGAAGAGGAGAAGGAAAGGGTGGGGAGGAGCGTACGCACGTTCTTAGTGGCGGAGGGATACGGCAAGCAATTGCCTCATCGCTATGACGGGCTAATTCCCTGTGGGGTCACGTGATGCGCGCTGGACGAAGCGGGGGGGTCGCTTCCCGCTCCCCCCCCCGTTTTCTAAGCGGTGTCGGGCCTTTCTCTGCCCGTCCTCCCGCCTCGCGCGATGCTCCCTGGCTCTTTTCACGAAGGGAGAGTTGAGGGTGACAAGACTTTCTGCAGACTGAGATTGAATTTGCGTCCAGCAATGCATCCCTTTGAGGGATGTTGCTTAATGAAACGGGGCCTTTTGCAAATATGGTTGCCTAATAACTCCAGCAAAATATCTGGGTCAGCTTTTTTATCTTTTGGACCAAAAAAAAAAAAAAAAGCAAGATTTTGTTAGGAGCCAGCAGGTGCAACCTTACAAACAACGCCGAGCAAACGAGTTTAACATCCGCAGATGGTGACCACAAGCGTCATTCCTGCGGGCGTGCTAGGCGGGGGAGAGGCCCGCTCTAGATGGATTGACAAGACCTGTGTGGCTGCAGAGCCACCTCGTAGGGGAGCTTTTGTGGGGTCGGGGGGGGGGGAGATGCGTTAACGAAAGGGGGGGCTTCGATGTCTGCAGCGGCGCTGGAGTGCACCGAGCCTGCAAGATTGCATGGGGGGAAAGGACTCTGAAGGGCTGCTGCCTCCGTAGCTTTGTGTGCTTAGCTGCGCTGATGTCAGTGCGGTGCTCAAGAGCCGACAGCCCGTCCCCCCCCCCCTCCGAGCTATCATTGGACGAGTGCCATCCGAGCTCAGAACAATCTCGGCGGGAACAGTCGCCAGCCAGTGCGCCGCGGAGGTCGGGTGGCTGCACCACAAGACGAATAAGGAGCGGACGCTCGCCAGCTCCGCGCTCCGCGGCTCCCGGCGCCGTTCAGCCCCATAGAGCGAGGGTTGCGGAAAGCGGAGACGCTACCATGGCCGGCGCAATGACGCCCCCTATTGCTTCAGGAGTGGAAGCCGCGCTTCCAGCGGCCGCTCAAATCGAGGTACCGGTAGTCCGCGACTTACGGCCACATCTGAGGTCAATGTTTCTGGTGCTAAGTGAAACATTTGTTAAGTGGAGTTTGGCCCCATTTGGCGACTTTTCTTGCCGCAGTTGTTAAGTGAATTGCTGTGGTTGGTAAATTAGTAAAGTGAAGTGAAACTGGTTTCCCCATTGACTTTGCTTGTCGGAAGGTTGCAAAAGGGAATTACATGACCTTGGGACATTGCAACTGTCATAAATATGAGTCAGTTGCCAAGCATCTGAATTTTGATCATGTGACCATGGGGAATGCTGCACTGTGTGAAAAACAGTCATCAGTCACTTTTTTCAGTGACAATTGTAACTTTGAATACTCCCTACTAAATAAACTGTTGTAAGTCGAGGACTGCCTGTATTTCTCAAGGCCTCCCCCCCCCCCCCGGGTATCCGAACTGCCTCTCCTTGGCCTCTGGATCTACCTTGCACGAGTTGGCATTGCAAATAATTAATTTGAAGTTCTTCGGGCTTCCATGATTTGCATCAGCTTTTAAGTTGCCAGTATGCAGGGACAGGGTGGCTGGATCATTAACATAATAAGGAAAAAGCAGGATGGCCCGTTTTTTTCCTTTTCCAGCAAACAATAACCAATTGTGGGCTCTTTTTTTCAGTTGATGTAGAATGAAGAGCAACAAAAAGGAATTCACTAACTTCTTGCAGTTCTCTCATGCCATAGTCCTCTGAAGACAATCTAGTTCTTGCATCAATGTATTGTTGCAAAGCCTCTTTACATGATGCATAATTACTTGGGTGAGTTTTATTTAGCTTCACTTCCTACACCAAACTTATCCATTTAACTTTCAGGAAAAAAAAAAGTTTTGGAGCAAGGACCATTGAAACACCAGAGAAAATGTACTGTTTTTCATTCCCCTTCCTAATTGTAATAGGTTGAGTTCATACAATGCTAAGCTATGGTTTAACTCAATTAAGATTTAATAAATTGCAATATCTACATTAGCATGTGCTAAACTATAAACCATATTTAGAAACCCCAGGGCAGAAGACCACTTAAAGAAAAATCAAGCAAACCTCAGTCCGACATCACATGTCTGGAGCCACACAGACATTGATTACAATTTGGATCTCCACATGGCATCCCAGGGTGGCTGTATGCTTGACAACAGTTCCTGGTACCCATCTGATTTTATTTAACTAAGTTCAATCCTTGGAGCTCAGGACTGATCTGTGGAGTCCTTGGTGCTCTCTGAGATTTATTTATGTAAATGTATTTATTTTAATTTAGTTGAAAGTTAGCATGCTCCAAAACAAAGTACAAACCTCATCCTTTCTAAGCTCAAAAATGCATTCTTAAAAAATAATGGGGAATTAAAGTACAAAGTATAAAAAATAAAAATATAATAACATGATATAATTATGTTATTACAATAATTGCTACTACATCTTTGTAGCTAACTTGTTCATCTTAAATCACTTTCAGAGGGGGTTAACAATCCTGCTGATGAGTTGTTTTTCATTAGTTTTGCCTTGTATTTTGGGCCAACATGGCTTGGCATGGTTTGTAGACTTAGCCAAGTATGACTTATTCCACAAAACACAGTTAAAATGTATATACCAACAATATGCTCTGACAATGTATCCTTATTCTAAACCTAAGGCAACTGGTCTGTATTATTGCATTAAAATTCCAAATCAATTTAAAGTTGACACAAATACCATAAGCATAAATTGCTTCCACAACAATATTAGATTTGTCTTTTAGTCTAACTTCAAAGGTTTGCAAATAAAAATCTGGAGCTATTTTTAGAAGAAGTCCATCATCTTAAGTTCCAGCAAGTTACATTTAAATATATACGTATCAAAAGAGAGATCATGTAGGGTAGTGGTTTTGGTATTGGATCTGCCCTGGGGAGATTCAGATTCAAATCCATTCTTTAAGTCCATTGAAGTTCAGTGGGTGCCTTTGGCCCATTCACCATCAGCAAAACCTTCCTCAAAGGAAGGAGGTGATGAAGAAAAATTGGAGACAATGCTATGTTTGCTGCTTTGGACTCTTGAAGGAAAAGTAAAATATAAATCATACAAATAAATGTAAATCATGCAAAAGGAAAAAGAAATCCAGTTCCTATTGCTACATTATGTAAAATTGCCATATCACCTATATTAATGGATGGAGAAGGCTTCATCTCCCTGCTTTTTAGAAACTATTTTATGCCCACATACTTGTGGTTTTTATAAGGCAATTTAGTTGTCTCTAGGGATGGATTGGTATGGTTTCATTTCCACTGTTTTCCAATATTCTCTTTATCTTCAAAAATTTCTCGTGAGAATTGTGCAATTGTTGGTTTACTGAGCTCATTGGTACCTGCTTTTAATTTAAAATGCTTTTGCATTTTCAAGGTTATTTCTTGTCAAGGAGACTCTAGAGACACATGAACTGCATACTGTTAATTGAGCAAGACTAGGAGGTGTTTAAAAAGAGAAAAGTGCAACATTTTGCTATCTAAGGAGGTTTTACCTTTATATACATACACACTATTCATTTTTATATACACTTTAAACTAGAAGGAATAGATAAGGGTATAGGCTAACAAGTTCTACTCCTATATTTCTGTCCATAAACATTTTCTAAATAGGAAAAATGGTTTGACAGCAGAACATTCTTTTCAGCAATATTCCATGTTGATATTATGAACTAGAGAAGGCAAGTATATATATTACCTATATATCAAATGTTATTGATTTCAGCCATAGGAAGCTTGTATTTTCAGTTCCTACACCAAATGTCGAAGTATTTGGTATCTGTCCAGTGATTCGTCGTTATGCTTTCTGAGGCTTGTACAGCAGGGCAATTTTTTTCGTTTCCTATTAAAATCATATATGAAGTGAACAAATCTCCCAGTTTTTTACATTTCAAATCAATCTTCAGTGAATGTCCATCAGCCCAAAGAGAATTGACAGTCTTAAAAAAATGATGATTAGCAAGAAAGAAATATATTCCGGTTTTATGACAAGCCATCTAGTTTTTCATTTACTATTTGAAACATTCCTCAGTTCTTTCATCAAAAAACCAACTGCATTTTTTTAACATTCTAGATCAGTGATGGCGAACCTTTTAGAGACCGAGTGCCCAAACTTCAACCCAAAACCCACTTATGCATCGTCAGGTGCCGAGTGGGTGTGGCCCATTGGGTGGGCGTGGCCCATTGGGTGGGTGTGGCCCATTGGGTGGGTGTGGCTGTGGTAACGGCAGACTGGGTGGAACTAA